ATCTCGGGGACAAAGTGTAATGGGGAGGAGGAGGGGAGAGGGGAGAGGGGGAGGGAGGGGGAGGGGGGAAGGGCCGTGGCGGCAGCCTTTCCCTGGAGCAGTGGACAGCCTGGCAGCGTCTGAGCACTCAGACAGTGGAGGCGAGTCGTAGTGTGTGTCGTCTGTGCCTCTGCAGCTTTGCCTGCACTCGCGTGGAATGGTTACGCTTTGAGGACTTGTACAGGGATAAAGTTCTTTTGAAGCGCTTAGAGGTGTGAGAGGACGAGGACGGCGCGGCATGCGCGGCTCTCCAAGGACGCGCGTGCACCTCACCGTCGCAGTGGGGTCTCTGGGCGGTTACCCGGGGTGGCAGGTGTGAACAGTGCCGCATTACCTTCTGTGTCGTGCATATTTGCCACTGACGTGTCCACTGCCATCACAGCCAGGAGTAGGGCAGCTGCAACAGGACAGAGCCGGTTACACAGGAGGGCCAGCGGGGGGACCGCCGGCTCCGCCCCACCCCAACAGGAGACCGCCATGTGTATGCATTGTGCATATGTGTGCTGCACACGCTCACATGTGTGTACAGGACAGAGCTGGTTACACAGGAGGGGCAGCAGGGGGGACGGCCACCTCTACCCCTGCTCACAGAGGAGAGCACCATGTGTATGTGTGCAGACATGTGTATGGCGCACACATGTGAGTACAAGCGTGAACATGTATGCATACATCTGAGTGTATGTGCGCATGCATCCACATGTGCACATGTTCTCTATGAGGGTGCATGAGTTTGTGTGTGAATGTGCAGGTGCATTCATCTGGGTATATGTGTGCATGTGCATGCAGGTGCACATGTTCTCTGTGTGCATGAGTTTGTGTGTGAATGTGCAGGTGCATTCATCTGAGTGTATGTATGTGCGCACATGTGCATGTGTTCTCTGTGAGGGTGCATGAGTTTGTGTGTGAATGTGCAGGTGCATTCATCTGAGTGTATGTATGTGCACACATGTGCATGTGTTTTCTGTGAGTGTGCATGAGTTCATGTGTGAACTTGAAGGTGCATTCATCTGTGTGTATGTATGTATGTGCACACATGTGCAGTTCTATGTGAGGCTGCATGAGTTCATGTGTGAACTTGAAGGTACATTTATCTGAGTATGTGCACATGAGTGTACATGTGCATGTGTTCTCTGTGAGTGTGCATGAGTTCATGTGTGAGCATGCAGGTATATTCATTTGAATGTATGTGCATGTGTGCACATATGTGTATGTATTTTCTGAGAGTGTGCATGATTTCTTGTGTGAACTCAAAGGAGCATTCATCTGAGTGTATGTGCACGTGTTCTCTGAGTGTGCATGAGTTCATGTGTGAACTTGAAGGTGCATTCATCTGCATGTATGTGTACACATGTGCACGTGTTCTCTGAGTGTGCATGAGTTCATGTGTGAACTTGAGCATTCATCTGAGTGTATGTGTACACATGTGCACGTGTTCTCTGAGTGTGCATGAGTTCATGTGTGATCATGAAGGTGCATTTATCTGCGTGTATGTATGTGCACACACATGCATGTGTTCTCTGTGAGGGTGCATGCCTTTGCATGTGAGCGTGCAGGTGCATTTATCTGAGTGTATTATGTGAACACATGTACATGTGTTCTCTGTGAGAATGCATGCATTTGCATGTGAGTGTGCAGGTACATTTATCTGAGTGTATTATGTGAACACATGTGCATGTGTTCTCTGTGAGGGTGCATGCGTTTGCATGTGAGCGTGCAGGTCATGTCTGAGTGTATGTGTGCATGAGTGCACATGTGCATGTGTTCTCTGTGAGGGTGCATGAGTTCATGTGTGAGCATGCATGCATGTGTGACATGAAATGCTCTGCATTGGCAGAGCTCTGGGGGTTAATTTCATCCACGCAGCAGGGCGTGAGCAAGCTGTGTGAGCTGGGGCTACGTTTGCCCATTAACAGGCATGGCTTTTCCAGATTGCTAGCAAGGATTCGTTTCGCTCATAGGACACTAACCTGAACAGCTCTTGTATGGCTGGCTCCACGGGAACTGCAGAGAGATAGAGAACAGAAAAAAATGTGTCAGCCATTGCAAGATACTCTTCCACAGAAAGTTACCCACAGGGCCATGCTGTGGGGCGGGGCAGGTCAGTGTGAATTGTCATGATGTTTGGGGGACCACGGGGGTCCCGCGGGACACATGGACGTACCTCGAACCCCCTTGGACCGCGTGCGGTGGCGCTTCTCCTCGGCGTCCAGGTCCATCTGGGGACAGAGCAGCATGTGGTCAGTGTCCTTGTCCTGCCAGTGTGGACGGCCATGCGCGGGGCCGCCTGCTGTCCCCGGCCGGCGGTCTCCAACAGCCCTCCGTCCTGCGCGGCCCTGCTCCTCTGTGCTGGGGCCACGCCAGGGCAGAGTGAGACCAGGGCCAGGCCAGCTCACCGTGCTAGTTACAAATAGTAAGCGGGCCTCGCTCTCCCAGGGAGCCCGTGTGCTCTGCAGCGGGGGACGCTGGCGGGTCCCAAAGGACAATCTGATTACTCTCTTCTCAAGGATTTGATTAGGACATATCGGGGCAATTCTGAGGTATACTTTGTAACAAGGCTATAACTGAGAGCTATTACATTTATATGCAGACAAAACCGCGTCTCCTTGTAACTGGAAGGTTGAATATGATTAGGCACGAACAGGAGAGGGGGCAGGGCTACAGGCCCTTTCTCCCGTGAGGGGTGTCCTCCCAGTGCGGCCGAATTCCTGGTGTGGACTGGCCCTCATTCCGCCAGACCTGCACCTGCCCTCGACCTGCATCAGCGGGCACTCGCAAGTCCACAAGAACCCCCCCCCCGCCCCCGTCCTCAGAGCATCCTCCCAAGGAACTCCTCTGTATACACGAGAAGGTGAGAACTTAGAGCCTGTGACCTGCCTCAGTACTGCGGACAGAGCGTTAGATCTCAGCTGTTTGTAAGTAAGTGTGACACACAGCCACGCAGGTAGGGCTGTGCTACTGTAATTAATGCTCACCACGCATTTCCCCCACGTATTTCCCCATTCAGGCTGCACCCCACGGACGCTGACAAGCACAGACAGTGCAAGCATAGCTCCTGACACACTGTGGAACCAACTCTCCCTCCCAACACAGCCAGGCTGCACAGAGCATCCGACACAGCCACCCACGGTCACACCAGCACGCAGGGCATGGAAGCCACTTTCTATGGGGTTTATGAGAAGATAGTTTGAGTGGACCAAGAGGGCTGTGGTCAGACACACACAGGCCTGCTGGGCCCAGGCAGGGATGAGCATGGGCACGGCCTCTGGACCAGTGCTGCTAAGGAGGGGAGGGACCACAGAGACGCGGGCAGCGCCTTTCGGTGCTCAGATCACCCAGACACTCAACATGTGCCACCCATCCGTGCAGTCAGCACACTCTCAGGATAAAGAAGCACAGACTCACTCAGTGCAGGGAACGCATACGTGATGTGCGTTCAATGTTATAATGAAGATACAATAATGTTCCTGACTTGAATGGGGAAGAATTTCAGACAAAGTGACTGGCTTCCCAGGGAATATCCCAGAGAGCTGCGACTGGTGACCAGAGCCATGTGTTCCGTGAGCCATGTGTTCAGAGAGCACGTGTTCTGTTAGCCACGTGTTCAGTGAGCATGTGTTCATGTGGAAGGAAGAGGAGACTAGCTCTACCTCACGTGAAGACACTTAAAACACTGATGGAATGGATGGAAGAGTGGGAAGATGGATCGCTAGACTCATTTGTTTCAAACAGCTGAGAAACTGAGGATCATGGTTCAAAGCCAGCCCAGGCAGGAACATCCCTGACACTTATCCCACATGAACCACCAGAAAACGGGACGTGGAGCTGTGGCCCAAAGTGGACAAAAAGCCCAGAGCACCTCATCTCCAAGTTCAAGCCCCGTGACCATCACCACCACCAACAAAAATGCAGGCTAGGAGTTAGAAGGAGGCGGGTGGCATATGGAAAAGAGCAAGGGGTTGGAGAGGAGCAGGAAGGACAGATGGCCGAGCTGAAGGTCGCGGAGACGGGGCGGTGGGACAGAGGCGGCCGTCATTCCACAGTGGTCTAGTTGACTAGAGTATTTTAGAGAACGCCTAACAGGGTGGAGGCGGGCAGGTTGGGGCAGTGTGTGGTCATGGAGGGGAACAGGCCAGGAAAGCTGCCTCAAGGAATCAGCCCCAAACCAGTAGCACTGTTACTAAGTCCTGGGATGCAGCGGGGACATCAGGAGCCCACAGGGACAGGAAAATGCTATTTAACTTCTAGCAGCAATGGTGCATTTCCCGACATCCTGGAGGTTGTCCCAGAGCTGGGGGTGCAGCCCTGAATTGGGGTGAGTTAAAATCCTGAAGAGGGAGAGGTAAGTCGAGGCATCCTGCCAGTGGGATAGGGTGGAGGGCTGCGGTCCCGCTGGGTTCTCAGGATTCCCGGGACATTTCAGGTCAGAGCAGGAGCAGAGGCCAGATCTGTGCTGGCCCGGCCCTGCCTTCAGGTAGAGTGGCCTGGGAAGGCAGGGCCTGGCAGGACGGGCCCGGGGACTCTCCTCCCTCCCACCCCGCCTGCCCCGTTTGTGTGGGTGACATGCGCTTGGTGTGTCTCGCGCTCCACTCTTCCCCGCTGCCAGGATTGCTCCTTACAATTTACAAAACAACGTCCCGCGTCGTATCCAACACAGCAGACCCTAAATAAACCCCCTTTCTCTTTCAGCCACGGGAAACACACGGAAGAGTTTCTCATCTGTGTTGCATTTCACTTTCAGATGTGTGTTTCAGTCAGGGCACAGGGTGGGCCATTCACGTGTCCAGAATTCCCCAACGTGTCACATCGAGGTGTGGTCACAGGCCAGCTGCACTGCTGTCCACCCCTAGCTCCCGGCCCCTCCCCACCCAGCCGCCCCTCCCCAGCTCCTTCTCCAGGGACCCCTCCGTCTTCCTGGACAGGCTTTCCTCCAGCACGTGGCTGGTAAGGAGACGTGGGAGGCACAGAGGAGGGCGGAGCTCTGCAGACAAGTCTGCCTGGGCAGAGGGAAGGCCTGGGGGGGGGGCGTGGGCTCCAGGCCTCCTGGCCCCAGGCCCCAGCTCAGCACGCTGGCTTTGGGTGCTGCCCGGTGCTCGCCCTCCAGAGAGCAGTGACCCCACTTGAAATCACCGGCTGTCTGATGATGCCTGAAACCATCTTCAAAATGCCACCGTAACGCCAAATCTTTTCTCTTGTGCTTAGTATTGTGTTTTTAAATAAATTATGTAGTTGCTATCCTGGTTTTACACATAAAGTCTTGAATTTAAGGAATATATTTGACCAGCAATGGTGTATTGAAGAGAAAGCAGGGGATTATTTTATAATGGGTAAACGTGACGGTCAGTATTTATTCTGATTACCTTGGTCTTCATTCCCTTCTCCCACTAAAACGCGTGCTCTCCCCAAGTTGAGTCTCAGTGAGGAAAACATAAATGTGTAAAATACAGTGGAGTCTCAGCCGTTGAAATCCCCAGCAGGCTGCTTTCCGACATTCCCCTGTGCAGATGACCATGGGTGGCGGGAGCTGGGCTCTGAGTCCAAGGACCGCAGGGGCCCTGGGTGTCACCCGATTCTTCACAGGGATCTGCTCTCCCTCTACGGGCTAGCCTGGACCACTGGCTGGGGGCGGACGGTCCGGCCTGCCCCTGAGCACCTGTGCCCTGGCTCCCCTCAGTTCTTGGGGAAGCAATCATCCACACCGCTGGTCAGCTGACCCTATTGGTCAGCTCCTGCTATTCAAAGTTGTCTGTTTGGCTGCCAATTGCCGCTGTTGGGAGGGTGGATGGAGGAAGTGCGGGGCCTAAGCTCCCGTCCTCAGGTTTGTGATGGGGCAGATGTCTGTGGAAAGATCTGATGAAGACAAGTGAGAAGTCCCAGCACGTGGTTTCAACCCTGCACAGGTGTCTCCCATGAACCCCTGCTCCGTGGCCTGGTGCCTCCCATGAACCCCTGCTCCGTGGCCTGCTGCCTCCCACGAGCCCCTGCTCCGTGGCCTGCTGTCTCCCACGAGCCCCTGCTCCGTGGCCTGCTGTCTCCCACGAGCCCCTGCTCCGTGGCCTGCTGCCTCCCATGAGCCCCTGCTCCGTGGCCTGCTGCCTCCCATGAGCCCCTGCTCCGTGGCCTGCTGCCCCCCACGAGCCCCTGCTCCGTGGCCTGCTGTCTCTCATGAGCCCCTGCTCCGTGGCCTGCTGCCTCCCACGAGCCCCTGCTCCGTGGCCTGCTGTCTCCCACGAGCCCCTGCTCCACGGCCTGCTGCCCCCCACGAGCCCCTGCTCCGTGGCCTGCTGTCTCCCATGTGCCCCTGCTCCGTGGCCTGCTGTCTCCCATGAGGCCCTGCTCCGTGGCCTGCTGTCTCCCACGAGCCCCTGCTCCGTGGCCTGCTGGCAATAAGACCAGACATCCGCACAATTCTGCAGGGCAGGAATCAGGTCCGTGTTTCAGTGCAGACTGTAGCAATTTTGAGACGTAAATTCCACGTGTGGAGGCCAGCAGGAATCAGAGTCTGTATGTTCTAATCACCACGGGAAGTGTTTAAACAAGGTTCCATGACAATTTAAAGTTGCTTTCCAAAAGGTGACGGAACTTTCCACTCTTTAAGGAGTGTATGCAGGGCAAGTACATGGATATTCAGGGTTTGAATCTGATATTCAGAATAAAGCAGCTATGATGAGCTAGCGGTGGCAGAAGACCGCGATTCTCGTACCACCATGTTTCTTAATTGTGCACATTCACTATTCCAACCTCAGAGGACGGCAGTCAGGAGAAATGACACAGAACCCCCTGGCGTCTCTGCCCCCACCTTTCCTTGGCCTCCTCCCTCCTCACAATCCTAGGTGGGGGACTAAGGGGCCAAACTGCCTTCCAAGGAAAGAGGCAGAGCCCTGAGCCTCCTGCCCCAGGACCTGTGCACTGGCACGAGGAAGAAGATAGAACAACGAAGAAGGGGGTGACCAGCAGGGGTGACCAGCAGGGGGTGACCAGCAGGGGTGACCAGCAGGGGGTGACCAGCAGGGGTGACCAGCAGGCCCCAGGACACAGAGCGTGGCAGCCTGGGAGGGAGCAATGTGAAGTCACTCCCTGTAAGGCCAAAATAAAGGTGATTCTGCAAATAGCATTTAAAAAAAAAGAAAATAAAGAACAAAGAACACTTGACATACAAGAAAACTTGACACCCATTAGCATGTGATTTAGAGGCAAACAGTTTTACAAACTCTCCTTA